TTGGTTTTATCACTCGAGCCCTCCTGTTTTGTCTTTAGGGGTGGAGTGGGGAAGGGAACAGCAGTATCTTTGACCTTGTGACCCTCCCTCAGGGCACTGAAGTATATCCCATCCTGAGCTCTGCTCTCCATGACCCACGTTACTTTGAGAAACCAGACGCCTTCAACCCTGACCACTTTCTGGATGCCAGTGGGGCACTGAAGAAGAATGAAGCTTTTATCCCCTTCTCCACAGGTAAGCTGGAGCCACACTTCCTTTCCCAGACACCAGAGAACAGGTGCCATCCCCTCTTTGAGACTATCAAGGAAAAGCCTTTATTTATTGAGCAGTGAGTATATACCAGTTTCTTTACCTACATTAATCCACTCCATCTTCACTACTCGAGGGGGCTTGAGAAGTGATATCATGTCCCAAAGGCACATCTTGGCAAGCTGAACCCTGGGCAGGTATGATAACATCTCCACATCTTCAGGAATAAAACATCGGTTGGGAATTACTCTGAGCTTAGTGCTCTGTTGGGGGCCAAAGATAATACACTGGACAAGTCACGTAGACACACAGTGCCAGCCTCTAGAAACTTATGGTCCAGCAGTGGAGATGGGCATTCATCATATGGTCACAAAATAATAACTAACTCAATGAATTGATGCTTGGAATGTGATTATAATGGCTTGACAAAAAGTAAGAGCTCATAGGCGCAATTACTATTCTTATAATTAATCGTAATTGTGATAAGTGCTCTAAAGGATCTTTGGGAGCAGAAAATAGGGAGTCCTGACGACTCTCGGTAGGTTGGTGAGGAAAAGTTTACCTGAAGCACTGGCTTCTAAGCGAAGACTTCATGAGTGAGCATCACCTGCCCACTGGAGAGTGTTACATGTAGAGGAAACAGCAAGGGCAGAGCCTGAAGATGGAGGCAGCATGCTGCATTGAGAAACTAGAAGAACCGGAGTAGCCTGGGGTGTAGATTCAAGAAGGGGATAAGGATGAAGAGCTCAGCTGGAAGGACTTGAGTGTTTCGGGGAGTTTGGATTTATCCTGCTGGCAATGAGGAGCCAGGGTGGATCAAGAAATGCTCTAAAGTGTCTTCATCCCTTTTCTCCACACTTTAGCCCCATCCAGAGAAAACCTCTAGTCTCAGAGTCCTCTTCATTTAGTAGAAATGAAGACCCCAGAAAATGGCCCCTAGTCTTGACTTCCATCAGTGATTTCAGTGACCCAGGGCCCTGGATCTGTCCAGTGCAATGGCCTCCCCCTTAATTTCATCTGTAGTGAGAGATGGGGGCTATGTGCTGGGATGAGGGTCAATTCCTCCGTTTAATAGTCCTGCCCTATGTTTAGAGAGAGACAGAGAGGTGGAGACATAAGGACAGAGACAGACAGAGAAGGATAGAGTGAGTGAGAACAGAACGAATTACAGAGGGATATAGAGATGGGGAACAGTGGTGGATAAAGACAATGAGTGAACATGAGACAAGAAAGGGAGGAGAGGAGAAAGAGAGAAGGAGAAGAAGGAGGGAGGATGATGAGATAGGAGGAAGGAAAGGGGAAATGAGAGGGAGAAAAACAGAAGAGAGAAAAAAGAGTGACATAAGCAAAGAAGAAGAAATAGTTAGGAGAGGAAAGGGATCTGTAGAGGGAGATGGCAAGTGAGACAGAGAGAGTTGCAAACAGAATCAGATCCAAATAGACAGAGACAGAGAGGAAAACAAGCAGAAGAGAGCAGAAAAAGAGGAGACCAAGAGAAGTGAGACAGACAAACAGCAACTGACAGGAGGTTTACAGAGAGAAAAAGAAGGAGGCAGACTGCCACAGCCAGAAAAAGAGACGAGCTCAGCCAAAAAGCTATTAGAGACAAAGGGATACTAATGTGTGTCCAAATGGACCGCCCCAGGGATGGGGAGGATGGGGTGGGAGGGAGATAACAGGCATCATGCTGTTCTGGAAAGAGCTGGGTTGCAGAACCCGTTACGGGAGAAGAACCAGCTCACAGCCCTGGCCCAAGTATCTCTAAGCTCATGTCTCCTAACATCTGGGTATGCCAGAAATATGTGGAGCTTCCTCAGATAGCTCCACACAGGCACAACATCTATCAATCTGAAAGGTCTAGCAAACGGCTAGAAACCCATCATTGACATGACCTTCCAAGGTTGTCAGCCTGCAGATGATGACCCACAGAGATCAAGAAGGAGGCTCTCAGTGCCTCTGTCTGAGTTTTTGGGGACCTTTGTCCTCATTTCTCTAAAAGCCCATGGTTTATAACCTATTGGGAGGGTGGTCCATACACCTCTGAGAGTCTGATGGGAGCCATTGAGTCCACTCTCAAGTGCATCAGTCTCATTCACCATTTTATGTGCACTCTGGGGATTTTTCAGAACTCTTGAAGGGCATGGCTCTCAGGCTGAGACAAGAAGACATCCCAGAGATAGATCAACTCATGCTGTGCCAGAGACACACACACTCCCCACTACACACACCAAGAAAGAAACACAAATCACTAACTACATTCATAGGATCCCAAATAGGGGCCAGAACAGAATTCTAAGAACTCGTACAAATATTAACTTCTTTAACCTCATAGTAGCCCCATGAGATAGGTACCATTCTCCCCCATATTAGAAATGAAGGACATTAAAAATGTTATGTCAGAAATATGCACACAGCTATGTGTGGCACACAGACACACACACACAAGCACACACACACACATATCCAACCAGAAAGTGGGTTCCTATGCTCTGTAAGGCCACTGAACCCTTTGGAAAGCTAACAGAAGCTACAAACTCTCTTCTGGAAAAATGTGCAAGGCACATCCACCAAAGATTTGCATCTGGCTTCACAGGGTTTGGGAACTCCCTAAAAATCCATTCTGAACTGCAGATTAAAGGCTAATCTCATACTAATCTGTAGCAATGGACACAGTTTTCTGGGCTTTGGGATGTGACAGGGAAAAGAATTTGCAGCTGACCCATGCCCACATTCGTGATCCTCTGTGCCCACAGGGAAACGCACTTGTCTTGGAGAAGGCATCGCTCGCAGCGAATTATTCCTCTTCTTCACCACCATCCTTCAGAACTTCTCCGTGGCCAGCCCTGTGGCCCCTGAAGACATTGACCTCACACCTCGGGAAAGTGGTGTGGGCAAATTACCCCCAATATACCAGATCAGCTTCCTGCCCCGTCGAAGGGGCTAAGGAAGGGGATTGAAGGATTCCAGGGTCATGAAGTATCCTCACCTCTGCAGAGAATGGTCCATGACTTTCTTCGTGTCTCCCTCCCTCGGAGAGAACCACTGCAAGTCTGCATCCCTCCCCCTTCTTATTTGCCACCTCAACGGGAAACTCTTTTCTTTAGTCTTACCTCTTCCCATCGTGCCACACATCTTCTAAAGACTTAAGGAGGTGTTTTCATTTCCTCTGTTAATAGAATGCCAGAAGCAGTGTATATATAGAAATGGGAGCTAAAAGGGGAAACTTGGCTCAGGATCTCCGCAGTCCACCTCCTCGGCCACAGGTCACTCTCAGTGACTTCTCCCTTCCTCAGAACAGCTAATCCTCCACTAATCAACTCCTTGTGCTCCACGACCCGTGCCTACCTGCCCACACTAAAATCCTCTTCCCATTAGCCCCTTTGGTGGGTACAATGACCATGCCCATTTTACAGATGAGTCAACAGAGGGTGGACAGTGGCATCAGTTGTCTGAGGTCTTTCTGAGGTCACATGGCTAGTGACTGGAGGAGCACAATTCGCATTCTATCTGCCTGGCTCTAGAATTCAAACTCTTCACCGCAGCTCCTTCTCCCTAAATATATGTTTTTAAATTAAGATGAAATTGACATAGCATAAAATTAACCATTTTAAAGTGTATAATTCAGTGGCACTTGGTTCATTCACAATGTTGTGCAGGCACCACCACTATCTAGTTCCAAACATTTTCATCACCCAGGATAAAATCCCATTCCAATTAGCAGTCACTCCTCATCCCCCCTTCCCCTCAGTGCCTGGCAAACACCAGTCTGCTTTCTATCTCTGTGGATTTGCCTATTCTGGATATTTCATATAAATGGGGTCACACAATCTTTTGTGTCTGGCCTCTTTCACTCAGCATGTTTGAAGTGCAAAACCTGTTAGTTGATTACCAGAATGTCATTTAAGGTTTTTCTGATACCATGTTTGTTTATTCAATCCATCTGAATGGGCCTCTGATGGCAATGTCTTCTTACAATGGGCTCATTCCTTTGCTTCACATATTAATCAGTCCAATTTGGATATACGGCCAACTTCCCCTTTCTAGTACATCTGGGTTACCTTGTTGGGCTTCTCCCTATCAAATTACAGATTGCAAAGCTCTAAAATAATTTACTATGATAGAGAGGTAGACTTCCAATGTTCACAGTTCATCTGATATCACTAATTATGACCCTGAAGCCTTGCCTAGTTATGGGTCTTCAAGTACATCAGCACCTTTATTCTGGAAGAGAGAAACTATTCCAAACAAAATTTACCTAACTGTACCAGAAACGTGGGATTAATATCCCTGGAGCCATGTCAAAGTACTGTCATTCTTCAAGAGAAGTGATTGGTTTGGAACAGGCTGGTCTTGAAGGCCAGACACTTATTGGGTGGCACCCATTGGAACTCAATGATCTTCTGGAACAAATCTTTGGCCTTGGCTTTGGATGGCTAGGACGCTGAACCCTACGGCTCCCTTAGTGTCACAAAGGACTCACCCTAAATTAACAACTGTTACCAATCTTCCTCTCCTTAAGGCCACATGGACTCGTTCAGTATTCCATTGGTTTTACCACCTGACAGTTACATTTGTTCTCTTCACAGGATTAGCAGAGTTCATACCACATGTAGAAGCCCTGATGAAATTTACTCAGCAGGCTCTTAAGGATACTCAAACAGGAATGGCTTTATTGAATACTGAGACGTGCTTAATGAGAAATGGTGTCCTTCAAAATAGAATGACCTTAGATATTCTAACTGTATCTCAAGGTGGTACATGTGCTATAATGCAAACTGAATGTTGTGTCTTTATACCTGGGGGATCTTCCAATGTGTCACCTCTGTTAAAACATGTGAAAACACAGGTTAATACCCTATAAGACCCCGCACCCAGTCTTGATTGATTTAGTTCCCTCCTTGCAGGTATTGGTTCCCTTCTGCGATCCAGATTACAATTTATTTTTCTTACTTCTTGGAATTCTTGTATTAATCTTAATATTCAAACTAATTATAGTTTTCTTTACTCAGTGTTGTAACATTGATACGTGAGCTAGGGTAACGATTGCTCAACAACTTGAGACGGTCAGTCATTCTTCTAATTTTGAATAAGCCTCCTTCTCTGATAAGGATTATACTTAAGACTTATTCTTCTGAGCTAAACACATTATTATCATTACTTCTGTTGTAAATGATGACTACGAAATCTTGTTGAAATGTGTGTACAATATTTCTGCAACGATCCAAAATTTCTGACCTATGGAATGCTTCCCCCAGCAGCATGTACCTCTATGTCTGTTCACTAAGCTCAGCTCTTTTCTCCCCAATATGGATAACTGGGTAAATTAATAAAATAAAATACCAGCTCCAAGGGACATGATGGACCCAGAGCAGGCAGCAACCACCCAGGCACCAAGGGACAATAACTTCATCATCAGTACCGTCTATGGAAAGATTATCTATCACAAGGGGGAAAATGAAAGTAATGCAAATAATAAGAAATTTTCACATATCAAGATATAGGGGGAAGCCATTCTGGTTTAAATCTGATTCAGCCTAAATCTTGTTTATCCAAGAGCAGCCTGACTTACGATCCACCAAACACGCATTGTACATCTGCTTTAAACATTTTCCCAAAGCAAAGAATGCAGTCTTTAAAGATAGGGACGAGTATCTCCCTTTATCTGACCCTGATATCAGTATTTCTTTGAAGGTAAGCTTTTCTTCCCGGAGAACTAAGGTCAAATTGACCTGCTGAGTATGTGCTAAACTGCAGGAAAACATCTCCTTGTGACTTTGGGGAAAAAATTATATTTCTGTCATACTTGCTCTATCTTCTTTGTTCTGAAACAGTATATAAACATGCTGTAAACCACACTTCCCCAGAGTTATTTCTTCTCTGGGGAAGAGAGCACTTCTGGGCTAGTCCTCACACCAGCTGTTTAAATATCTTTGTAACTTATAAATTGGTTATTGATTATTTGCATCAACAGTGTGTATTCAGAAGCCTACAGGTACCAATGAAAATAGACAGACCATTTGTTTTGCTTAATTTTAGAGCCTCAGTCTTCCAATTTGGTTTTAAGAAAAGCTAGTTTGGGAAGATCAATAGTTCCTCATGAAAAGGCTGGCCCAGTGGCATAGTGGTTAAGTTTGCACACTCCACGTCAGCAGCCAAGGGCTCACAGATTAGGATCCTGGGCATGAACCCACACAATGCTCACGAAGCTGTGCTGCAGCTGCATCCCACATAGAAAAGAAATGGAGGAAGATTGGCACAGATGTTAGCTCAGCAACAATCCTCCTTACCCAAAAAAAAAAAAAAAAAAAAAAAATTTCCCCGTAATGGCCATTGAAATTCTGTGCTGCTTATGGTCTGTTCAGCCCACTTACTTGAAAATGCACATGTAGGTATCCCAAAGTTCTTAAACATAAACCAGCCTGAGGTCTCTGAAGGAAAGTTTCACTCACAACATTCAGGTGACTAGGATCTCATTTCTGAAATTTCCCCTGAAAACGCAAGAAAGTTGCAAAAGTCCTAGCCCTATCTCCCAAGGAATCTAAAAAGAAAAGAAAAGTTGCTGGACTCCTAGCCCTGATTCCAAAAGGAATCTGAAAACAAAGGGAAAACTCCTGGATTGTCAGCAAGTCTGAGCCCCCAAAGGAATTATGATGCCTTCAGAAAACAACTAAGTACTCACCAAAGATGATGTCTTGAACCAGGAGGATAAATTCCCTCCCCTGAGAGGACAAAGCCTCATTTCTGAATAACGTCCAAGAGCTTAAAACACAAGGAGAGCAGAGTTCAGTGTCTGAGAGGAGACTCTCCAAACCAAAAGCAGGTGGCAGAACACATAAGCGGTGAGCACACGTGGTTTCATGTGGGTACCTAACTGCATACTGGAGGTCACTGTCTCTAGGAGATTGCCTCTTTGGATCCACTTTTCTGAAACCATATATGGCAACTAAAAAGGAAAACTCATCTGTTATTTTATGTCATAATGAGTTTACTTATGAATAGCCAAAATAATTTCAATTTGGAATGTGCATGCTTTGGCAAACCATAGGCAAATCCAGAAAACAAAGGAGGGGAGCTGCTTTTATAGAGAAAAAGGGAGAATATGGAGGGGCTGTTCTAAACCAAAAGTCCATTCGAGGAAAGTAACACTTCAGGAGGGTAATGGCTTCTCATTGGCTGATCTGGAGGGTATCTCATTGGCTGAGTGGTTGTTGAGTGAGGAGAGAAATCTCTCTTCAGTCTTAAAGTAGTTTGACTTCCTGTCAGAGATGCAAGCATTTATCTGTCTCTTCCTGTTTGGTGCAATTGACTATATGTGATAGGATATGAGAGCTCCCCCTACAGGCCTTCCTGAATCCAATTTAGTTTAGGTTTCTTTTATTAGTTTCTACCTTATATATCTATATGGATATATATCTTCTGTCCTGTGCGCTCTTCTTTCAATGTGACACTGACATGCCACAACTGAGATGTCCTCTTTTCCCCCTCACTTGAATCTGGGGATAATTTATAACAGCTTTGACCAAGAAATGCAGTGGGAGTGCTGCCGCATGACTTCCAATGCAAGGTCATAAAAGGTAGTAGTTTCCACCTGGCTTTCTCTGGGGACATTTCCCTCTGCCCTCCACTTGTTGATTCCCCATGGGACTGGTTCCAGCAACCTAATCTCACTCCTGTTGGAGAATGCTGTACTGTTCCATCACCATCTCCTGAACAACCTCAATTCCGCACAGCACAACTATGAACCAGAGCACTTGGCAGAAGAACCAGTGCCCAGTTTTCCTCCTGAAGTTATAGAGCAACTTTCACAACTCTCTTTCTGGCCACTACCTCCAGTTGAGCCTGAAGCCTACTGTTTGTGGTCCGAACAAAGAGAGGAATATTCTTT